AGACCGCCGGGGGGAGCGACGGCAGCGGCCTTCCCACGCGGGCGGGAGCCAGGCGCTTCGTGAGCATCGCCGTTACTACCGTGATGCCCCCAGCCCCGGCAGCTGGGGAGGTGACGCTGCGCTGGCCGGATCGCTGTGCCTGGTGGCACGGTCCCCGCCGGGGAAGCGCCTCTCCCAGGGCCGCAGCCTAGCGAAGAGCAGGCCCGAGGTTCCTCCAGAAGCGCAAAACCGTGACACATTTTGTGTGTTTTGCTGAATAACGCTCGCGAGAAAATACATCTCGTGTTACCCATTGCCTGCCTTTTTTGTGGGCAGGGGAACAGGGAGCTATTCAGATCCAGGGCAGTTCAGTGATTTTTTTTTTCGTGGGTACAGGGCAGCTGGAGCGCTCTCAGCCTCACTTAGGCAAAGCCCTTGAGCATCTCTTGCTCAGACGACTGAAGCTGGAGCACCTCACCCGAGCATGCAGAGAGCATCCACTGCTATCTTGGTCTATCCACTGCCTTTTTCCTTCAAAAGGGGGGGTACAGTCAGGTGCAGCATCACCAGAGATGTATCCCCTTCCTCCAACGTGCACAGACCAATACAGGGGGAGGTTAGCACAGAGAGTGCATCGAGTGTACATGAGCAGGGTTGTACTAACAGTGAATGTGTATGACTGGCTTCTCTTGCCTAGGAGGAGGCTTAAGACTACTGAAAGTATTGGTCTGGGTTCAGAAGTCGGGGGACCTGGAAGCCTGCGAGGCCAGGAGGAGGCATTTGGACAAACGCTGTAAATACGCTACTGAAACCTGTGGTTCTCCAACTGCTGCAGGTCCCTCCTCTCCCAGAGGTTTTGGTTCCTCACCAGGCTTGTGAGGGAGCGTTTTGCTTGTATTGAAGACACCAAATGGATCTTGTCTTAACACTGCTCCTGCCATTAACCTGTATTTCTCTGTGAGAGATTCTAGCTTTTGGTGGGTGTTTTTTGCTGGTAGTTTACAAAGGTGCTTTGTGACCCACACAATGCAGGAAGGGGTGGAGGCTTCTGCCAGGATTTCTGGGTGTTTTTGCTAACATAGTTAAATAGGTGAACAGCATGACCTACATTTTCCTGTTCATGTTCTTCCAGTGCTCTTGCAGAAACTTCAGGTTTTGATGGTGTTCAGGCTGCCTCCTTCCCCTTGGTATCTTTCCATTTAAACAGTTTGAATAGTTCAGATTTCATACTAAACATCTAACAGAGCAAGGATGTTGGTTATATCCACCTAGAAGCTGTTCTGTTGTCATCCAAATGACATGCTGTATGCCTGAAGGTTTCTCCTACCCAAAATCATTCTGTTACAGGGAGGTCAAATGACTTATGGTTCTCAATAAAACTCAGTTTGCTGGAAATCCTGAAAATGCTTGAAACAAGTTATTTCACTTGGACTTTCAGTTAACTTCCATGATTTCTATTTCCCTTTTAAAGGTGCACTGCTGGTTCTGCAGGCATTTTATTCTTTAATATTAAAGAATTTTATTTAGTCCTTTCTTTAGTATTAGAATTATTGAATAAGAGAAGTAAGAAAATAGAATGGGCGAGTTGATGGGTGGATTAAGGAGAGATACCAGAAAAGAGAATATTTGGTGGCCCCTTGCTAGAGGTCACCAAGTTTTCTCTTTTGCTGGGTCTACTCTGACAGAGAGAAGTAGATGACAGGGGAAAAGTGTAATTTGATAAACTACATCTCCGGGGGTTTGCCAGATCTGGAAAAGAGCAGGTTGTCACTGAACTTTCCTTTGTGGCAGTGCATGGACATTAAGAGGAAAATTAACCCTAGTTGCTTGAAATGCTGCAAGCGCTCATTACAGCATGCTGTGTGTGTATCTGATGGTAAAAATACCCTCCTTTCTATACCAGGTTTAACACTGCTGCAAGAGGTTGCGAAGGCTGGGGATGACTGCTGAGCTGTGTTTGCTGCCAGCTGTTTCTCCATCCTGCCAGCTGTGCTGGGGCAGCCACATCTGGGGTTGGGTAGTGGTGGGGTGGGTGATGGTGCCCATCTCCCCAGCATGCACAGGAGGTGGGCAGAGTGACAGTAGCTTGGCACAGGCAGGGCTGGATCTCTCGCTAGCTAAAATAAGAGAGAAGCAGGTGAACTTACAAAGGTTAATTACAGCCCTGGTTAAACCTATTAGGAGTTGGCAGATGCCTGCAAGAGACTTGCTAAAAGCTGAAGTCTCAGAAAAGCAGATATTTCATTGCAGGGTGCAAAGTGTCTTTCTTCCACCCAAACTCATGGCCTTTTAAACTTAGCATGTGGTTGCCCGGGGTCACTCCTGACATCCATACACCATCAGCCCCACGGGCTGCCCACTACGCCAGCTGTCACATGGGTGTTCCCTGTTGGACCACAGGACCAGTGCACTCGCCAGCAGGCCAAAGCTTTTACCTTTTAAAATCCACTGAATCAATCACAGAGTACACTGCACTTCCAGAGCCTATTTGGAAGTCTTGCTTTGCCAGCACAAGAGCACAAAACACTGCTTTTGGAAAGCAGTTGGGACTTTCTGACATCCAAGTCATAAGTGAAATTACACAAAGTCTGCAGGTCGCTTGCCTTTCCCAGTGAGTAATCTTTAGTTTCCTCCTTGATTTAAAAGATAGTTTGAAAGCGACTAAGCTCAAATAAAGGAAATGAGAGATTAAGGAGTGGTGTTACAAGGCTGTTGATTTCCCAAGGCAAGTTTGTGGTCAATTTTCTAGGCGTTTAAAAGATTTTTATTTTCCCTAAAAATTTACATTGTTTTTAAAATATGCAACGTGGGAAACGTGATACTGGAATAATAGAAAATCCCAAAGTCTTGTCTCCACATTGCACTCTTAGGACCACCCTTTTCTTAATTCAGTAACAAGCATGGGCACTGCAGATGGTTCTTGTAATTAAAAATTTGAGTGTTTTTTTGCTCCTTTATGTCATCACAGAGAAGCCTGAGTTTACAACTGTGGCTGGTATTAACTAGGACGCACTTGGCTGAAACCATAACCGTAAAATGAAGTGAACTCAATTGCCATCGTTCTTCACACTGGCAATATCAAAAGTGACATACAGTGAGGAGAAAAATCTCACTGGCTATTTTTTGAGCAGAGGTGAGCTCAGGTTAGTTTCCTCCTGTTTCCGCCCCATCCCAAATTTTCAGAGTTAAGAAAAGTTCAATTCTGTACCCAAAGGAAGGAGTTCCCTGCCCTTCCCTTTGTCCTGAGTCTCTTCCTGCATCCAGAGATGCCGTCAGGGCAGCTGCTTCTGGCTTCTCAGTTGTGAAACACTGCTAATGAGAGCAAATTGTAATTATTTCTGGTTGTCTTTGGGATCTCTGGGAAGGTTTGTAATTCTCCTGTGGCACCTTTCCCTAACCCCATTCCATTCTATTTGCAAGGCTGTCCTATGGGGCTCAGTGTGGCTGGACTAGACTTTGCTTTTTGAGAAGGCCCTCCAGCTCTGATGACAAGTTGAATTGTGCTTTCAGAATGACCTTTAACTGCTGCCAGGTTAAAGGAGCTGCCTGTTTTACTTGTACCTTGCCAGGAGACCTTGTTCCCTTACATCAAGGACAACGTGAAGGAGTACCTGCTTGCTCACTGGGAGGAGGAGGAGTGCCAGCGGGACGTCGGACTCCTGAGGAAACAGGTAAAGTAACTGAGCTGCACTGTGTCTCACCAGGTTTTCATGGTACGCCTGACACTTCGGTTCACTCAGACGCCCCCAGCTCACCCAACACAGGCCCATACCCCTTGGCCCACACAGAGGTGGTTTTCCTCAATGAGCTGCTTCTCCCCTACCCAAAGCTTAGGGTTATGCTCAGCAGCTCAGCTGAGCTGACAGCACCGAAACAAGCATCAAACCACAGCTGTTCAGCTTGGTGCCTGCACCGTGCCCTTCTCCTCTTGCTGAATCCACACCTGTTTGGGAAGCAGAATGGAAGAACAGCAGAGTACTTGTCCCACAGAGCAGCATATCCTGCCACTCTACAGGGACATGGCAGCAGTTTGAGACCTGTGGCTGTCTGAAGCCAACAGATGCATTTGCTGCTTTGCCTTAATTTCAGTAATTAAATACTTAACAAAGGATAATTCTCATTAGACTATTTGCAGTGCAGCTACAGTAGTGCTAATTGTTGGGTTTGGAAAGCACTATCCAAGCAAGTGTTTCTAGACGCTACTGAAGTGTAAACTTCTCATTGAGAAAAGCATTCAAACAAGTTATAACCTTTCATGTGAAGAAGAGTTCAAGCTGTGTTTTGCACAAAGCTGCATTGATGCAGATATTAGACCCCCTTCCTAGATGGAGGTGCTGAGACTGCTCCATCTCTTCCCTCACCTCTTGTTCTAATGGATGGTTTCCAGGCTCAGGAGGACTCCAGCCTGGATGGAGCCGTGCCGATCCCTTTGGAGAGCGGAAGCGGAGAAGAGGAGCTGGAACGGGTCATTCAGGCGGTTGTGGACAACGTGCACTGGCAGATGTCCCTCGACAGGAAGACCACAGCCCTGAAGCAGCTGCAGGGCCACATGTGGAGGGCAGCCTATGCAACTGGGCACGTCAAAGGAGAGTGAGTAATTGTGCATGTTTGTGAGCAACTGTGCACCCCTTTCCCTGGGGCAGGTATAGGGTGCATCTTTCCTGGGTGTCAGTTAGCAGAATAGCTGAATAAAGGCCTGGAAACAGCTCTGTACAAGTGCAAACAGGATTACTACCTTGGTGGAGAATGCAATACATTTATGTGCAGTCATGGCTTAAGCCAGGCCACTGCTGCCATGGAACCAACTGCAGACACTTCACTTTCAAACTTGATCGTGCAGTGGAGCACAAATCCATTGAGCTTAATTTTTGGATCTAGGGAACCAAAAGCTTACCGTAACCCCAGGCCTGACTGACTTGTCTCAGTCCCCACTGGGAAGAGGACAAGTGGGTGAGAGTGGTTTTCCCTAAGGAATAATTGACAGGTACCTGCTGGGGAACAGCTGGTTCTCCAGCCACCTGGGCAGGGTCCATAAAGGAGACAGGGTCTGAGAAACAGAATGAGATATTGGAGGCATGACATGGGGCGATTCCCATGACTGATGGGACATTCAGCTGGGACAGCTATCTTCTACATTGAAAATTCAGAAAATATCTCATTTCTCTACAGAGATTTCTTGGTGAACCAAGAGACACAAGTATGAAATTCTTACAGTTCTCTGACTTACATTTTTTTAATCCCTGAATTGCACTCACATTTTGGAGCAAGCCTAAACAATTCAGGGTTGCAGGATGAGTTCCTTTCAGTTGTTTCCTCTTGCTTTCTCTCTTACCTGAGCATTTCCTGTCTTTCCAATTCTTTTTGTCCCCAGGCTCATCTTCATGTATCAATCTCAACACATGGGTGCATAAGTAGGGACCACTGGGGTGAAGCCTGATCTTCTTATTCTTTTATTCAGAGACACTTGGTTAAACTATGCATTTCGGGTTCCTAAGGAAGTAAAACAAACCTTTAAGTTCACAGAGTGTTTTGTCAAAGGAAGAATGAGGAAGAAGAAAAAGAGCTCACAGAAAAATGTAAACATCCACCGGAGAAAGCAACAGAGACCAAAAGCAAGTCAAAAGGGATAGTCATCTTGTTTTTTCTTTCTTAAACAGGGCTACTTGTCTTATAGTGGCCCAAAAGCTGTAGAACAAGCCTTGCTGCATGGCAGCATCCAAGGAACGAGATCTCTAAAAAGTCTCCCCCTCGCTCAACTGATCTGGTACATCAATGTCTGAAATCCAGGCACTGAACTCAGCATGTGAAAATGTGAGGGAGGCTGGGACTTTCTTATAACTACCAAAACCAGTGAACAACTTCTTTTTTTTTTAATACATAACAAGGTCCTGAGCAGGTGGCTGAGAAACTGCAAATGTAGAAAGGGCCAGCTGATTGCTATGAGTCTGCTAAACTCAGTCCAACACCTCCTTTTGCATCTGTTTGGAGTTCTCTTTCTTCAGGCATTTATGTACTCAGATCTTCTTTTCAGGACAGTATCCAAAAGTAATTTACAGAGCCTTGGCCCAAGTTGCCACTCAGAGGTGTGCAGTGCAGGTGGGAAGGCTGCGGTCCAGACTGGGATGATAACTGAGTTCCCTGGGGATCACATCATCTTCAGCACCTCTCTCCATCCTTCTGCCATATCAGACTCAATTCTCCTCCCTGCCCTCTCGAGGCTGTTAGTGGCCTTCCCTTGTCATCAATCACATGTATTATTGGGACTTATTGTCAGCCTCACCTTGTCCTTCTTGAGCATCCTCTAGCCTTCAGTTTCCTCCCAGTACACTGGTAATCTTGTAAATGTCCTTTGCATGCAAAGAGCTTTTACATACACGTAAGTGCAGCACTGGAGAGGTCTTGTGGTACAGATGAGAAGGGTATGAGAGAACTGTCAGACGTGTCCATTAGAAGTTACACAGCAGTTGCCTTGGCTTTGGTCCTTCCCTTGCACAGCTTTGCTTCCTGCTGCTGGGCTTGTCTTTAGGCAGCTGCTACCCGGGAGTTAGGTGGAGCTCACATTTCTGACACCCACCAGCCCATTGCTAGACTGGTATTTTGCCTTCCCAGCACTCTGCAAGTCCAGAGGAATAAGGGGTGGGATGCTGGTGCCTAGCACATGGGAGCTGGTTCACCCTCTGCATTGCAGTTAAGCCAGGGACACACTTGGTTCGCAGGTAGCACTGTACAACCTGACCAAGTCACTGAGTAGAGTAGCTCTGACCTCGACCCATTAGGGGTCACTCCTTTCCCATTGTCTGGCTTGAAACAGTTCATACAGCACTGCTCATTTAGCTCCTGCAGCTGCACCCTCTTCTCATCTCTTCCCTGGACGTGGTCAGCGCCTGAACCTGTGGGATGGGTTTGCCCTGTATGGATGCAGCTCCTGGCCATAGCTTTTACCAGTAGGGAAACCTTGGTAGCTTGCAAGGAAGGAGGCAGGAGCCTGTCTTCCCTGTCCTCTGTCCTCCCCCTTATTCCTCCTCACAGAGAAAAGCAGCAGGATGCCATTTTCTCCAACCTTTCCTCCCCTCTCCAAATTGAAGGAACTGGGCAAACTCCTGCCCAGTGTCTGAAACAGTTCATCAGAGCTGTTGTCTGTGTAGCAGTCAGTGAGCTGCTCAGTTGGCTCAAGCTGAGAATATGTCACCTGCTGCTGAAACAGACTGCCCGGCTGCAGGAGCCCTGAGCAGATGGAGAATGAAGTCCCTTTGCAAACCAGTGGGACAGTGTGACAGTGCGACAGTGCCTGCCCTCAGGTGCCTCTGGGCTTGCCCTTAGCTGCTGCCCTGTTTTGCTCCAGAGTCTTCGAGGACGTGGTTCCAGCCATCCGGAAGTGGCGGGAAGCGGGGATGAAGGTCTATATCTACTCCTCGGGCAGCGTTGAAGCCCAGAAGCTTCTGTTCGGATACTCTACAGAAGGTGATATCCTAGAGGTAGATAACCTTATCAACCTTCCTTACAGCTTCTCCCTCTGCAGAGCACTTCCCTCTCACGACTGCTCTTGCTGTAATGCTTCCTGGGACAGGAAGGTGAGGGTGGGCTTGGAGTTAGGCTTGGCCAGCTGAGTGCACTGGCATGGCTGAGGGCTGTCCCTTGGCCCCACATTGCTGTGGTAGGATGGAAAGGGGCTGTCACGCTCCAGAGCAAGGTTTCGCTCTGCCCCTCAGGTAGTACTCAGCAGCTGCCTTTGCTTTTCCTCTGCCTTCTAGCTCTTCGACGGCCACTTTGATACCAAAATAGGCCCCAAGGTAGAAAGCGAGAGCTACAGGAGGATTGCTGCCAGTATCGGGTGTGCCACCAAAAACATCCTCTTCCTGACAGATGTCCCTCGAGGTAGGTGGCCTGCCAGTCCTGCTGGCTCTCGCCTGTGCGAGGGAGGAAGGTGCTTTTTGAACACGTGCTGCTGACTTGTCAAAGGCGCCCCAGAAATGCTGCAGACCACCTTGCTTTGGTGGCATCCCCCTAGCTGCTGCCGTGCTCCTTGTGCACCCAGGCTCCACACAGCAGCAGGCTATCAGTGAGCAGCACTGCAGTCCGCAAAAATAGGCCAAGTAGCAAACCTGCCCTTCCACGAGCAAGGAGAAACTGTTGGAGGGGAGCATTTGCTGAGGCAGTCGGCATGCCCCATTTACAAACAGGGTCAGTGGTTTTCGTGCCCTATGTTCAGGGGAACAGATGATATCTGCTGTGCTGCTACATGGCAGCTGGTCCTGGTCGCCAAGGCCAAATCCCTGGGAAGCCAAGCTTGGGAAGCCAATTTGATTTCCTGCCTTTGCTAGAAACATCTTTCTGTCAGAAATGGCACTGGCTTGTGATCTTGGTCTAAGCCCCAGTGCCCGGGAGTTAGGTCCCTTTACTTCTTCCCCAGCCCTGGCAGCAGAGCTAGTGGGTGCTTGCACTTACCTCCTGTTATTTAAGCCTTAAGCACCCTCATGTGCAGAGGTTGATAAGCGCATCTCATCACTGCTCTCCCCTACTCTGTTTCAGAAGCCAACGCAGCTGAGGAAGCAGATACTCATGTGGCCGTGGTGATCAGACCAGGCAATGCAGGGCTGACGGACGATGAGAAATCGTATTACAACCTCATCTCATCTTTCACTGAACTTTTCCTGCCTTCCTCCACTTAGGGAAAGCAACACGTGCACGAAAGACTGTGCTTCACCTGAATTGTCCTTGTGTAACTTTAGGTAATTTTGTCCATAATCAGAATTTAAGACCAAACCCACATCATCTTGGACTCATGACTAGTGCAGGTATGGATGGAGAGCGTGCTGTGGAGGCCCTTGTGCAGTAGGATGGAGGCCTGCGGCAGCCAGCTGGAGCTGGGAGCAGGGTGAGGAGCAGCTCTGCTGTTCCTTCGCTTTCCCAGCTAGGAATTAGCCCAGGGGATGATTCCCTCAGTCTTATCCACTGAAGTCTGGTGCTGATGCCCCACCACAAGCTCTGTTATTCTTAGAAACTGTTGGCTAACAAGGTGTATGTCCATCCTCCCAGAGGGACTTCCAAGGGCCGTGAGGGAGTATGAGCCTCTCCTTGAATATGGGGTTGCTGGCTAAGTCAAAACTTTCAAAGTTAGGGTGGTTAGATTGCCCAAAGGAAAGTGCCAAATGTGAGCTATAATACAGTAGGTTTTGACTGCCACAGACGACAGCCCTTGCTGCATGCAAGTTCTTTAGACCAGGAACAACTTAAATCTTGGCTGTACCCACAGCAGGTCCAGGTACAGCACAGCTACACAGCCAGCCTACCAGAATGAAGTAGAGTATATATAAATATAGCTTTGAAAATTAAGTTCTAGACCCATCTCACTGCTGCATCATGGTGCTGGACTATGGGATCGAACAGGCTGAACACTGAAGTCAGCTTGACTGCTTTTCCTAAGTATCTCCAGTAGCACTAGTCCGTGGAGCATCTCAGTAGCCAACATCACCCAGTCACACATCTGTAGCACTGGGCAGCTGTGAGCAGATCTTGACAAATGACTGCTCCCAAGAGACGCATCCTGCTGCATTTAATGAGAATTAAAACCACAACCTTTTCATCCAGCCCCCCTAAATTGTGCCAATTTATATCAGATGGTCACGGAGCTTCTCCTAACATAGTAAATAAAAACACAACTTAGCTTTGGTTGTGCTCGCTCCATCCCAGTATTTACCATTCCTGTCCATCACCAGTGATCCCAGCACCTAAAGGTAAATCTCTCTTTTTTTGAACCTGTAAACACTTTTTCCCCTTTGGCCCTCCCCAGTCCATTCTTTAAGGCAGACAAGCTTGTCCTGCTGAGGAAGCTGAATTGCCTCCCTAACCAGAAGCAGGAGTGAGAGCCACAGCTAGGTTATACCTAGCAACAGCAGTGGCAGGGGCAGTCTGAAACCCCAGTTCCCTGCTGCTTGCACTTCATGTATGGCTGTCACTTGCTCCTCACTCATTTCTGCGCGGCGGCGCTTGAGCTCGCCCTCATGGATGGCCAAAATAGAACACTGATGTGCATGGTGCCTTCCTGATCTACACCTATGGCTGACCCTGTCGAGTGAGGCTGTTGTGTGGAAAAAAAGCAAGCGACACACATCTGGGGAGGAAAGCACATCATGCCAGCATTGCCCTACTACAGTTTGGATAGTAGCAGGCAAGAAATGAGGCAGCTAGTCTGGATGCCTTTCTGGGCTCTGTAACAAGTATGATTTTCTTCCTAGGAAAAGCCTGCTAATTATCCCTGTTAAAGTAAGTATACCTGCATGGTTGAATAGTCCCTGGCTTCCTTAAGTGTTAATTTTAATCATGACACTGTAAATATTTACCTTTTGTTTTGCCTCTGCCATCAGAAAGCTATACATGGGGTATGGGACAAAAATAAAACTCACTTTCTCCATAAAAGCACTTTATTTAGTGGTCATGTTTCAGTGTATATTGGTTGTCATTTAGTCATACTGAAATGTGCTGTTAGAAGTACTGTAGGAAATTTACAGAGTTATCACCAAAACCCTGAAGTTCAGTTTGGATTGCCTATAGGGAAAGGAGAAGGGGAAAAAAAAAAAAAATCACAAACATAATACATTTTTTCTTTGATAAAATTACAAAATATAAAATGAAAGTATTAATTGATTAAAAAAAACAAGTCACAGTGGACTATTTACAGTAAAACACCCTTAAAACAAATCACTGTTTTGTGCTCCATATGCACTGAGTGTGTGTGCCCATGTAAGAGGGCCCCACCTGCATGTCCTCCTTCCCCTTGCCCCAGAGGTGCTCGCTGGTTGCGTTGCTGTGCCCTTGGGCCACCTTCAGCACAAGTCCGTCCAGGAAAGCTTTGCATTAATGACACAGCTACAAGGAGGAGGCCTTCAGCAGCCCAGTGACAACCCTCCACTGGCTAGAGGTGCTCTGGATTTATACCACGGCTGACAAGAACAAAGTTTGGCCCACGGAAGGAAAGTAAAGGGCTGGCTGAAAGCTTTCTACTCATGCTAGCTTTGACAGAAGTTTCTTCCTGACTGTTTCCCCTTTCAGGAGAGGCCTCTGACCTTTGCAGAAGACTGAGTGCCCTCATGCCCTTTCCCTCTCTGTTGGAAATGCCACAGTGCAGTACGAGTTCCCCTTCAAATGCCTTGTGCCACCATTTTAATTTCTGCTTGTTTTCCTGCAGTTCAGACAAGATGTAGACCTAAGCCGAGCCTGCCTCCAGGAGGAAAACAGGAGCCATGCTCATGAGAAGCAATTTCCCACACCTCCAGGCCTCAGGTCACATCACCCAACCTCTGGGGCAGGACTGCCTCCTGCGCTCTGGAAGCCCCCTTAAACCTGCATACCCTGGTGTGGCAGACCCCGCTCTGGACAAGTGGCCGTATTGAGGGCTCTGAAACCCAGGCCTAGAGTCACGCATGTCTGGAGTTTGACTTGTAAGTGCACAAGGACCAAAATCAAACCCTGTGCCCAGCACCACCTGCCATGGTTCTGTTCTCATTGCGGGTGAGCCCAGTGTCTCTAACACAATGTTTTCCCCCTTAGTGAACAAAAGAAAAGCTTTTGAAATATTATACACAGTATGTGGTGGAAGCACTGCAGAGTTACAAAGAGCAGCCTTTTCTGGGTAATCTTCAGAACACACAGCATTCCCATCTCAATTCAGCACCTCATTTGCACCAGTCCCCACCGCTGAGCCCGAATCACGAAGCTGAGCACAGCACCACGCTGTGCCCTATCTGGTGTGGGGATGGTCTGGCCAGCTGCAGCATCAGCCAAGTCTCATTTCCTGATAGCAGCACAGCTTCTCCCAAACCTGGCTTTACCTTCAGGCTGGAAGAAATGCCTGCCTGCTCACCATAAAAGCCAGTCAGTTGGAGTCTTCCACTGCCCGATGCCAAGTCCAGAAGAAACAGCCACTCTTTTTCACCCTGTGAAGTTACACTGGTTGACAGCAAAGAAAACAATGCAAAAAACACATGAAATGCAGTTTAGTGACTCAGGAACTGGCGACTCTTGAAGACTCTTCGTGCCCAGAGAGGTCTGCTTCCTTCCTTCTCTGCAGAAGAGGCTGAGGAGAGCCTGCCTCAGAGGTGCATCGCAAGGACTGGTTCTTGAATGTCTTCAAGAACAGCAGCACGACAGAGCTGCTGAGAAAGAGACACTGGTAGCACAAACAAAAGAGCTTGTTCCCTCTCCTGCTGCCATGGAGAGGCATCCATTCCTCTTCCACCAGCCAGCTATTTTTGTTGGGCTCTTAATGAGAGCGCCGCCCTCGGAGCCCTTTGGCAACATGATAATGATTGCACATGAAAACAAACTCATCAAAAAAGTGTAAATGAGGTCATGTTTAACCCATGAGACCACACCTGCCCCCGTCCCCCCTGCCAGAGGACAGGCTACACTTGATCTGTCTGGTACTCAGAGGCTTCCGATAAGCTTTCGGAAAAGCTCAGAAAGTTTTCCTGGTACTCGGAGCAAACAATCTCAAATCTGTAGTGCCTGAACTCCACTGCAAAGGTGCCAAAGTAGCACAGGAAGCACATCACCAGGCCCCACTGGATCCTGGAAGCATACATGTGGATACCCTGTGCCATGAGGATGAAATCTGGAAGAGGAAAGTCAAGGAGAACTAGTGGGAGCAGAGACACTGACTGGGATGAGAGAAAGTCAACAAGGAAGACAATAAAATCTTAACAAAGTCACCCAGATGACAGTCAACCCAGCCAGCCATCATCAGGAAAGCGTGAATGTGGTGCCAGAGATGTCAGGTGTCCAGCAATGCCCATGGAGCACAGCAGCTCTCCTACATGCACCAGGGGTTCCTGATCACAATTCAGGCTGACAAACATTTACAGAGGGAAAGCCAGAGGCACAGAGAGGTTGGTGACTTGCTTGGACATCCAACTAGCCAGCAACAGAGCCAGCAAGCTAGGAATCTGGCTGTGGGCCCCTACCTGCCAGGAGCCTCCCAGACCTCTGCACCGCAAGCTATGGGAACACCTTTCAACCTGCACTCTGCAATCCTTCATTCTCTTTAGATCGCCTGCAAAATCATCCCTTTCTGTGAAATGCAGAAGCATCAGTCTACACAGCATGGGATGTTACACTGAAAGGAAAAAGAACACTGCCAGAGCCAGAAACTGTCCTCCAGGCTCATGTACCACGTGCTTGGACTGCACCTGACATCAGGCTGTCACTGCTGTGCCTTGGGTTGGCTTGGAGTACTACACAGGAGCTATTCTCAGCCCTCCTAAAGCAGACGACACCTTCCTGAGCTGGGGACCTGCCCTAGCCCAGTGCACATCTCATCTAAACCTACTGGCTCTCTCAAGGTTTCCTCTGCACCCCACGAATGCAGGATCACACACCTTCACAGGCTTAGAGTAAGCAACCAAACCTTCATTTCAGCAAAAAGCATTCTGTGTCTGGCTTTAAAGTTCTTCTGCTTCCCCTGCAGTGCAAGGGTTATGCACAAGCTGCATGGGAGGGGGAGCGAGCCCAAGCCTTTGCAAAGCCAGTGTGGGGTGGCAGGGAGTGGGACTCCTGCCTCAGCCTGTCCCCCACCACAGAGTGCTGCAGGCCTTCGGCGCCAAGCACCCAGCTGGGGAGGGCTGGGAGCACCCAGCGTGCTGGGACAGGCACAGCTACGCCCTGGCCTACCCAGCTGCTCCTGCTCCCAGCCT